TTTTAGGAGAAAAATCACGATGATGAAGACCTGTTTAACTAAGAAAAGAGAATATCAATTAACGATGAAGCTATGTAAKCTKTGCAAGAGAAAGGAGAACGAAYAYGTCAACTATATAATCCGATAYGTTTCTGCCCTTGAACAAGCAAAAACGACTGGTTATTTGTCGCCTTCAGTCGATCGATTATTCTTAAARCCAATAAAGTGCTCGAGAAGCATAATTAAAGACAAAAATATGATTTTGCAGGTGCATTCTATYTATGTATTCATAGTCAACGATGCAATCACGATGGTATACAAATCATAAGACATTGCACGAAAACTAGGCGTTRAAGCCATATGGATGCCATTCCAATGCAAAAACCCATTTCAATGTACYTAAAAAAGTCATTTCAATGCAAAAAAAGCTACTTCAATGCACTGGAAAAAGCCATTTGAATGCACAAAAGCCATGCCATGATCAACTTAATTGCCAAAAAACTCTTTTGAAATGCTCTAGCGTATTCCAAATCAATCCAAAAAGAACAATGAGTAAGGTGGTGTGGTGAACGTGGTTTTTTTTTTTCGAATCTCACTCCCTCTAACTACACTTTCACACTGGCTGACATTCAAATTATATTTCTTTAAAAAAATCACGAATGGGCGAYCAAATCTTCGATATTCTATCATTCAACAATAATTGATGATCGATAACTTTATTYCAAAAATAATTTCTTTCCAAGATAAATGATGTATCTGTTTCCAAATACAGGTAAACCTTTTTTTACGCAGAATAATGGCTCGGGGGTACTTCAAAACAATGGGCGTCGTACACTTAGTGATATTGCTCCCAGTCTATTTGTGTAAATGTGTCGTGGAGTTTCTACCATGAGGATACTGTTAATAAACCGCTTTTACGACATTGTTCTTACGCAAYYAGTGTCTTCTAGAACGTCAGAAAGCCATTTCAGTGCTATGGATYTAAATCCATGCGTCATCAAGGGAAGYAAAAGCTCATGCGTCTCYCAGAGACATGACGATCAGATATCATTGTAAAAATAAAACTCATACAGTCTCTTGGTCCTTTTCATGAGGAAGCCATTTGAGTGCTTGAATTGGCATTCAGAAAGCCAATTGAATGCATGGTTCTTCAGAAAGCCATTTTATTGTATTGAGCGTACCAGGTGTATAGCAAGCATTTTGCTTTATGGACGTCACAGAAATGCAAGGTGTTTCTTGGGGCTTTGCATAAAGCGTTTGTATTGCATCCAGTAGAAGTAGTTTTTGTTTAGATGCGTGTTGTAATGCTGACAAAGTTCTTTCAAAGGAATGCAAACATGTTAGAAACGTTTTAATAAACGTGAATCATAATAAAGCGTARRGACATTTAGCGCCCAYAACCACAAATCGTCAAAATTTGGAGGAAACCATTCAAATGCCACTTGAAAGTAATTTTGACCACCTTGATGTGGTTAGGTTTTTGAACGTTAGTCTAAACCATTCCAGTAAGAYTTTGTTCAAATTTCAAGACCAGAAAAACCGCAAAACGATAAAATTTTGAGAGTTAAAAGCATTAAATATGAGTTTTTAGATATTTTCGGCGCACGGGAATCAGTTAAACCAAGTGTTGCTTTGAGAGCTGCGGAAGAGCTTGAATTACAACCACAAAAAAAATTAATAAATCAAAACTCCAATATTTTTTGATTTACAGAGACGAGTATTTTCTCATGGAATCAAACAGCATTTCAATGGTCATCAAAAAGCCATTTCAATGCACACATGGCCGCAATCAATCATGTTATTGCACTGATTGCAAGCTTTTCTTTTTTATTCGGCAATCTAATGAGMAACGTGCAAATTAAGGTAATTAACACTAATTGCATAATAAAACAACGGAAAAACAAATAAGCAAAAAATTTTCGAAAAGGAGAACATTAATCATTAAAGTTTATAAGCAGATACTGAGTTTTTGAGCAATTCTTTCACCGACGCAGTATATCTGAACCGATTGTAATTGTTTCGGGAAGTGGAAATCGAGAAATTTCTGAATGAAAATCGTTTTTCTTTAGCCTCAGTGCCTTAGTTTCATTTAGTTGTTAAAATGTACACAGAAATAAAGCTCTACGTAGCAGCTTCGATGAGAGTTCCTGCTTTTATCCGCTCAGATACAACTGTACGCTCAATGGAATAATATAAGATATTTAGTTTGAACTGTTACAGTATAAAAAATAATGTTATTGAATCATAAAAGAAATACTATATTTACGATATTCGTTCAACTCTAAAACCACAGTTATAATCCAGGAATTAAACAAATTATAATATGAAGTTCACGCTACATTACTGAAAAAAAAATATTCAAAATATCTTTGAAAATTTAAAAAATGTTAAGAGAAACATCTAAGAGCCATTAAAAATCCACTAGTATATAAGACAATGTTTCGCATGTAAAACCTGCATTAGCAAGTATCACATGCAATAGACAATTAGAAAACAGTCAATTTTTCATAGCTGGGAGTGTATGGCCGGTACGTCTAGCGCTAACGAGGCGTGTTGGATTCAAAAACTGGCAATTAAAGATAAAATCTACCAAAAACTATCATTATAGAATGATTTCACGATAGCTTTATGCACTAAACAGGATTAGAATTGCATTAAATTGGCTTTCTAACAATGAAATGGCTTTCTAACAATGAAATGGTTTTCTTGCACTGAAATGGTTTCCTTGCACGGAAATGGTTTTCAAACATGTAATTTTAAACTTTGGAACATTTTAAAATTTAAAACCTAAAAAATGTTTGGATTGACCTTAACGGGTATCCTGGTCTGTTTAGATTTCGCTGATCAAAATCACGAACCGGTTAAACATTGGCGCGTGCAAACGAAATGAATCAGTGATTTTGACGGGTAAAACCCTTGATGCTTATAACAATCCCGGGAATAAACAGTTTAGCTGGAAATTCTGCATAACCAGCTCTAGAAGGTCTTGGACTTGACATTGAAATGGTTGCTTGACATTGAAATGGCTTTCTCGACACTGAAATGGTTGCTTGACATTGAAATGGCTTTCTCGACACTGAAATGGTTTTCGCTCATTCTTTTCTCAGCACAATGTCTTTTTTATGAATTTTTTTTTCTTAAAAAGGCTTTCTGGATGGACGGTCACGATATCTCGCTGTTGCCTAAGAGAAAGTGTTTTTTTCCGAAAAACAAAATATTGATGTGGCAATCGGGTTTATTACGAAATCAATTTCGTTGTTCTTGCTTTGTGTAAACTAAACAAAAAAGGTGATTTCACTGATCTAATTATATGGTCAAAAAGAAAAACCATCTAACACCTCTGCAAAAGAATTTGTTCTAAAAATTCAATTATTCCATAACAGTCTCTTCTAATTATAATGTTCTGTTGTTCGCTCATTGCTATGGACTATCGCAGCTGGTCATTWGAAAATCAGTGCTTTTCCGWTACTCTYAACAATCCGGAAACAAAACCACGTAKATGAACCACGAGAGGTCTGCACCAAATAAAAGAATGTTAAAGTATTTCCGACTCGATAAACTGTTCGAATTTTTCGCCAATTTACAAAGCGCAAAATTTATTAACAGTTTGACTGTTAAAAGCGCTTTCTTATTGTTTTTTGGTTATTAAGCTGTCATTTAGAGCGCACAGTGTACAAGCATATATCAATTAAATGGACTTATTAGCTTGTTCGAACTCTTCAGAAGCCAGTCGAGTGCTTGCAAAATTTCATTAGATTGCTCACTTCTTTTTCYGTGTTTGAGTGAGAGTAAATCTAGTCTTTGTTTGTTGTCTTCTGTCAATCTCTTAATAAGTTTCTACGACAAAGGATTCTGTTACTAACTCCGCGGACGCTCGATGTGTCGGAACTCTGGACGCAAACAAAAGAACACGTGCGTTGGTGTTCAGTCAAGTGCTCCAGAAAGCCATTTCAATGTTACATTCCAAAAAAAGCCATTTTAGTGCTCGTTATATTGGGAAAAAAAMCATTTGAATGCATGTTGKTAAAATGACCATTTTTACTCAAAAGCCACTCCAAATGCTCGAAAGTCATTTCGATGCCTTTTGAAAGTTTATTTAAACTATACTATTAAGTCTGGTACCAGAACATAGAAGAAAAAAGATTTTACCCGTTTTTCTCCAAGTATAAATTTGACTATACAACGCGGCCATTTTTTAAATATCTATCGGAAATGAATAACTCGAAGAAGTTTGAAGTTAGTTATAGTTTAGTTAAATCCCTCGGCCTGGGGTAGGTCCATCTGTTGGCTTTAGAGACATTCCAAAACAAAAGGAAAAACCCTTGACAACCGCGTGCCAATTCAGCTATGTAGAAAGCGTGATTGTTTTGTCGTTCTGTGAAGCGCAGAGCGATGTTACGCTTGAATGGTTTCCCGGGTCACGTGGTCGGCTCGGTCAGCCGTGAAACTCTACCAGTAGACAGAGCGAAGTGGAATGCAATGGTGGATGCTTTATTTTCAACCAGTTTTTCACCAGCAATGTGATGATTTTATCTATAACCGGGTTCAAGAATTATGAATCCATGCAGTAAACCCTAACAAGTATCATTCAGCAAAAGTAACATTGAAATGAAYCTCGCGTTTTTAGCTCAAAAATGTTCACTTCGAAATCTTCGCACTCGTGATTCGTTCTGATTGGTCGGCTTTCGAACAAAGGATGAGGGCATATAGGCTTTCCTCGTGGTTGAACTGTAAACGTCAAAGTTTGAAACACAAAAAGACGGTCAAATTTCCCAAACCCAAGWAACGTAAAACGGCTTAAAGTATTTGGATTCCTTCACATCGMAAATAACAAAGGTTCACTTCATTATCAAAAAACCTTCAATAAATGAAAAAGTATCTGGTTTTTACAAAATCTCTTGTAGGCTATAATTACAAAGACCAATTACAACTAAGTGTTCAATAATAAACCACTGTAGATGCATATTAATGAGTCTTTTCGCTCGAGCAATCGCATTATTCGAGTTAAATAAGCCAGTTAAAATGGCAGATCAGCTATGGCGCGCTTTGCACGTGTCAAAAGCCAGTCATCGCGACGTCATGCTAGGCCGGCAGCTGATTGGTTGCTTGGTATGCACGTGTCATCTCACTCAAGTACACCTGTCATTCTACCTACAGGTGAATATCATTTTATTTGTCGCCAGTGTTCGCAAGTGTTTGTGTTCCCTAATAGCGTAAAGGCCCATACCRTATTCGACTGCGCAGGATCGTCACCACGGCAAGCAAAAGGATATAAAGCCCAAGACTCGACCACACACACATTATCGTCAGAACACCGCTACGAACGGACGACAACCATCAAACTGGAAAACTGTCCGGAGGATATGAGCACACTCTACTTGAGTCCAACATCGGAGACAGATGTTCTGCAGGTTTCGAAGACAGTGAATGATACTATGGGAATTAAGCCGGAGTCGGAGAGTTCACGCAGTCATACCAGTAATAATTTCTTGTCCATTACTGACACACCTCATATTACCCTACTATCCGACACGGATCCCAAAGCGTTAAATTCTTCCAACGGCGGTGGTATGGGTTTTGGAAGTTCTTTAAACAGTTTCAACGGAATGAATGGATATAACTTTAATAATCTACCACTGGCCATGAACCAGTTTCCATTTCTCTCCAACTTTAACACTGATCAGTTTATTGTCAAGGAATCGTCACCGAGAGGTATGCATGACTCGGGCAGCGAGGGAAATACAACTCCTAAATCACCACCGCCGTTTTCTATGCCATCTGGAGCTGAATCACCACATCTGATGAAGTCTCCAGATCGATTACAGCCAGTACTGACGCCCCTCACGCCCGTCAGTCTACCATCGTTTAGCTCGGACACGTTCGGGATGGAAAAAACGATCAAAAACAATAGTTTACCGCAGAGCACAAGCCAACAATACAACTCGAGTTACAGTGGATTTAAAAGCCCAGAGCTTGGAAACGTTCCAACGACGGATTTTCCATCGATATCACGACCTCTGCTGAATGACCTGAACGGAATGAGGTACAGCTTAGCGCAGGATTCTTTCGCGCAACAACAGCATATGGACCTGATGTCAAATCCTGCTTTTCTACTCCAGCCACGACCGCCTCTTTGCAGCCCATCTGGTATGCCTGCTTTCTTTAAATACGGCTATCCTCAAAGCTTCTCGTCGATGAATGGCCAACCACCAGTTGGACTTCCCAGTTCACTGATGTTCAATGGAGAGCAAAACATAAATCGATTGCCTACGCCTACTAGCACCCAACCGGTACAAGACCCAGTAATTAATGGAGCTGGATCTCAGATAATAACCGAAAAGAGCAAGCCCGGCTGCAGTGAAGATATGATTAATGACTTGAACTCAAAGAAAGTCAATAAAGGCTACTTATGTGAACTTTGCGGGAAACTCTATACTAGAAAATACGGCTTGAAAATACACATGAGGATTCACACTGGATATAAGCCACTGAAGTGCAAATACTGTCAGAAGAGGTTCGGGGATCCCAGTAACATGGCAAAGCACATTAGATTGCATGCCGTTGGTGATACTCCMTACAAATGCCAGTACTGTGGTAAAGTTTTAGTTAGAAGAAGAGATCTAGATCGCCATATTAAATCCAGGCACCCAAATGGACGATAAGTTTCTGATGTTATATATTTAGAATAAATTTGATAGCTTTTATTAGACTTCTGTGAAGTTTTACATTCATTACGTACCGAGGCAAATGGCTTCAACAAATTTTTCCACTACAAAAAGGACATGTTTTTTTCTTCGTAGATTTCATAATCAAACGTTTATATATGAAAAGAAAATAAGTTTGTAAATAAACAAAGTAAAAACGATACAGCAAAAAAATTACAAAAGAGACGTAACGAGAAACGCCTTCGTTGTTTAAGAAATTAAATTTGTAGAAATACATAAAAACCTTGGTTGCAAATAAAGGTATTTGAAATGACTTCAAAATGGCCGAGTGTTCGTATAGTGTAAACGCATTATTTATTAATCATTGCACATGCTTTAGTTGTTTTCTCTCGAAACTTATGCAAGATACCAGTAAAAATTAAGCAACTAGTCATTATTGATCGTGAAATCTCTGAAAGGGGGGCAAAAAGCAACTCGGTTGGAATTAGAACATCCATTTTTACGCGCTTTTCGGGGAACTCGCTTTGCAACGCCCGCCGAGCGGTGAGTAATAATCAAGCGTTGAGACACAATTACGTAGTCACATAACATTTCTTCAATTTGGCGACTTCATGGGGAGAAACGTAGCATAACACACGAAAATTGTTATTTCATTGAAAAGAACATTGAATATCGTAGAAAATCATCGTAATTGATAAAKAATAAGAAATAGTTTGAGTTCAGAAAGTTATTTGCGAAGATAGGAATAGCGCTGCCTTCATTGTATAAAGATGGCGTATCTTAGTGAAGCGAAAACAGCGTTAGCTATTTTTCCCATTGTCTCGACTTTGAAAAACGCTAATCAAATTGGATACAAACTTCAAGTAGTCTTTAACCACTTTCTTATAGAAGTCTGTGATTTCTAAAACTGTTTCTTCTCGCTTTACCATAGTAATATGAACTAATTATAGCTAATTTAGAACGATAAGGTGTCGGRTTTGTTGTGTTATGGCTATGGAACCAACGATGCGATAGCTTTAAACTATGGATTTCTTCACTACAAARACCTTGAAAAGAGTCCTTTGTTATCGCAGACAAATTTACGATATCACGCCCGACTGCGTCCTTGAGAAAGCGMACAACATAGGTGAAAACTAAACAGAAGAAAGCATGGAACACTATTCTTGCACAATATCTTCTCTGARGYTGTACTAAAYTTATAAWCCGAGAAAAGCTCAGTCWTTTTAAACAGAGATCAAATGAATGTAYCGTTTAGTTAACCCGCATATTTGGACATTTTCGTAGAGTCTCCTCAAAGCAAAAGATTTAATTTTGGTGGAATTCAMTTGYTAAAGTAAWTTCCTTTTCCTACTTCAATTTCATTTCGTCATGGAGTTTATCAACGGTCTTTTATACCCTAAAAACGCGAGAAAATATCTGTAAAACTATGAAAATCTATTTAAGTTTAATTAAAGGAAAACATTCAATCGTTTGACGACAAATACGTAAGGTTATTTGACATTTCAGCAAAATAAAATAAGAAATGTTGTAACGTCTTCGCAATCCTGTCAAATTGTTACCAAAATTATGAACTGAACAAGCCTACTCGAAARGGTTTATTTATCGTTTTGAAGTCATTTTATTTACATTAACGCAACACAAGACACGAGTGCTCGCTCAGCTGTGAGTTTGAAAGGACAACAAGAGCAATAACGTGATTAATACTTCCATCTAATCCGACGAAAACATTACAAATCCACGTGCTTCGAGAACAAATCATCAACATTCGAATGGGTTTTCGGTGTTTGTATTTCGAGTGAAGAGATTAGGCCGTTATGTTCGTTAAAACAAACAAGTTTGGACTAGAGTTTGAGAACTGTAGCTGTAATAATTTTAATTAAAATCTCTTAGCTCGCAATGGGAAAATATATTGCTTTAATTCATAGATCAACTCACTAACTTTTACCAAGGAAAAAAGTTACATCAACACTTTAAACTTATCATTCAATTGCAGTGCAGTCAACCATTCATTTGAGCAAACATTTCCACGCTGCTATGACTGCAGTATTCCGACATATATCTATTCATTTGATAAATCTCTTTGGCATCTCTTCTTTAAACTTTAAGAAACAGCAACTTACTGTAAATAAGTCCTTTTTGGCTTTTTTGTAATTCTAAGGACCTAAGAGTAGAAAGACTTTTATTCTAAACAAAGGGGCACTAGATACTTTCATGGGTTGAAAGTACAGATGGGACACAACCTCCAAGGAATCCCTCCAGTGGATTCTAATTCTATTGTTTACAACTCGAAACAGTTTTATTAACTTTTGGCGTTTGGGAGACGAGGTCTTTGTATATCTGACCGCATTTGTTCTTATACGGGACCTCTTCTAAGACTCGCAAAACACCATGTAGATAACGTCTGGGATACTTTGRTGTCCGCACCGGCCCTTGTGTTGACTTTTCTTACAAAAAGGGCGCGCTTTCACTGAATTTTTGACGAGCAAACAATGACTTACTTTGCATGGAAAAAGAAACAAATTGTTTAGATAAAGGGAAGAACAGCATTTGAACCATACCAACGTTATTTTTTAGCTTAAAAGTTGCACTTAATAATTTCGATTTTTTTTTATTTGATGTTTTAATGTTCATTTTGCAAAGCCAACCAGTACCATATATAGCATCAAAGATCACATCTTTAAATGTGCCAGCTATATAGGACTGATTTTAGTGTTTTATAAATCAGAAAAAGACCTCTCACAAGATAAAGTCACACAATGCAGTATCTTTAAGTCAGTTTATTATATAAAATCTATGATGTATTTTTGATTACAGCTTAGGATTTGTAAAGAATAAGCACAATTTGAAGGAGACTGTAGCCGAAGTCATTGAAAACAAGTTACTATTGAATATATCGTAAACTTGTTAAAGAAAAGAGCTCTTTATTCGCGCCATTTCATGCGTGCTATAAGAATGTCTTCATTGAGGAATTACTATACTAAGCACTAGCTGGTAATATCTTCTAGCCTTCTCAGCCTTCTTCTTTCATAAAGACCGACCTTGTATGCATTTCAGACGCTTTTGGGGATTTTTACTTGACAAAATATCTAATGCAATAAGCATCGTTTATAGAATTGTACTTTTTCAGACGTTTTCCTTTGGTCAATAAAGCGTATAGTAAAACACTGCAAACATATATCGCTCCATGTACGTTATATAGCAGTACTAATCTACCGGCTAAAAACAAAACTATTTTTTTTTCTCAGCAACTGGTGTTAAGCTTGAGAGGAAAATTTACTCCGGTTCTATCACAGACTTTCACGATTTTGGAAGACAATGATGCTCTTTAATTCACTAGTTTCCAGAAAGGTTTTATAATAAAATAACTTTATTAGAACTACGTGTACTACGGTAAATAGGCGGCAATCAATGATTGTCAGATTAAAAATCTGATTATAATTATTTTTCCAAGAGTTAACTTAATTAAACGAAATAAGAACAGGGCAACATGACAATTAGAATTTTTTGAATCAAATGTAACAAAATTAGAAAAAAATATAAAACGAAAGTAAGCTTTCATTGAGCTTTTCTAATGAGAAACTAAAAATTTTGCAATGGATTTTAGCTAACTTTGTGTTAGATAATGTTATTTTGATTTCTCCCTCAGGTAGGAGTTAGACAACTAGTACCAAAATAAAAGAATTGAATGTAGCTAATTATGCTTCGGTTGCTCACTTWGATCTGAGGTCTCCATTCTTTAAAGCTCGAGGATTTTTAAGGTATTTGGTCTTAAAAGAAATCAAAATTATATGCAAACAATATCAGAATGCGCGATAGTATTATACTATACTTATAGCTTAAAGGATTCCAAGTGCATGGTTCCAGCTACAATTGTAACATTCAAAACAATTTGAAGATGGCAATTTTAGAAAGTTCTKTAACTTTGCAGAAAAGACAATTTAAAAGTAAAGTGAGTTTGACATATTTTAGTAAGTTTTTGATCAAGAATGRCTTTTTGAAGCGTCTGCACGAATTACATTTAGTAWAAAAAGCACATTTATTCTCTTTTGCTTGAACCTCTATTGCACTTAAACYGACTTAAAAAAGAGTTTTGAAATACTTAACAAAGAGTTTGGATAAATAAGTTTGAAATACCAAGACCTGCTAACTTTTTCTTATATGCAAATCGTAAGAGAAAAGAATATTTTGATTGAAAGCATCACTGAAAAAATGCTTCCAAATTGCTAAATGAAGCTGCATAACTCGTACATAACTTTCAAAACCTGTCTTTCTGTTTGAAACTGTTCATTCAAATCCATTCCCCTAGCTTGAATTTTTCTTCAAGAGTCAGTCGCGTTAAGCAAGAGCAATTACGAATTTGCTGATCACTCTTAGAAGTTTAGAATACATATTACAGRGAATATATACTGCAACGATAGACTTAAATAGTCGATAACATGGCTATACTAGAAGCTATGGAAACGTTGAGCAATCTGCCATAAGTTATCGATTCATACCAGAGAAAACTTAACTATCAAAGAAGAAAGTATCAAAGCAAAGTAGTGAAGAAAAAGAAATGGAAAAAATAAATCTAAGTTTTAAGTCTTGAGTTTTGGTTTGCAAAAGTTGGTTCATAACTTACACCAAACTGTAAACAGATTTCTTACAAATAACAAAKCACAAATCGGTAAACTGCAAAGTTTTCTYGTTTTCATGACATTTAAAATGACACTTAAGTTTCCAATGAAGTAAATACGATATTTCAACCTGGGAGGTATAAATAAAACAAAGAAATTTATAAAAAGGCGCAGTTTMCAAAATACCCCTTGATGTTCACMTTACTAAGTAAGGTTAAAAAATGTATACAACGTGGGCTACAAAGGGCMATGGAATCAGATTTGGTKAAGAACAAAAGAAAACTAAAAGGCTTCAAACACGCACTAAACTTACACTTCGGAAACCACGAAATTCCAGGGACTATTCCCGGGGAAAGCAACCAGCTATCCATCCATGTAAATTATGATTTGGGGTCATTGAATTCCACAAGAAACAAGAACAACAAGTCGAGGGTCTCAACCGAGGCAAAGTACCACCAAAACTTTTGGTAGAAAACTGGTAGAGGATTTAGAAAAATCATCAGGTACCAAATACTAATTCTGTACATTTATCACAGTCGAGAAATCTCAAGTAAAATAGRGTTTATAAAGTTTAATTTGGCAGTTTAATCGAGTTTTGAAAGGGATTTTCTTTCGCTGTTGCAACGTGGTTCTCTCGAGGGCGATTTCTATTGTTGCATAGTTAATGAGTTGAGCGCGAGTTTTGTCTTTTAGTGATAGTGAACT